GCGGCAACCTCTTCATCACCTCCCACACACAACCAGCCGGCAACCCACCTGAAACAATCTCATCAACATCAAAGTAATCATCAGCATCGTCGTCGTCTATCCCCTCATCAATCGGACCTAATCCGACAGCCGCCGCCTCGGTATCGGACGAATCCCCGACATCAACATCGACATCGTCAAAGGATAACGCTCGTTGGGTACGAGGTGGCGGCGGTCGGGGGGTCGCCGGAGAATCAAAGACGGCGGCGGAGGAGGTGGTGGTAGTGGTGGTGCCGTCGCACACGTGGCCTTTTTTGGGAAGGCCACATCGACCACAGTTGTAACTCCCGCGTTTTTTGGCGCGTTTGGTGGGATCTAAGTAAGGGGTAACTGGGGTTGTTGGGGCGGAGGAAGCGGCGGCGATGTGGTGGCGCATTTTGAAGAGAGAGAAAGTAGAAAGTAAAGAGAGAAACAAAAATGGAGGATTTTGGTGGGCTTTTTTGAGAGAACAAAAGAGAGGTTTTAATAGAAAATGAAGGTGGCGCGGGAGGGAAAAACAGGGTTTTGGCGCCCTATTTTTCAAGATTTTTTAAATTGAAAATTAAAATCAGCGTTTTTAAAGAGCAGATTCTTTTTTTTTTTTTTTGAAAGTTTGGGGTGTGTGAAATTACGAAAAATGGGGGTGTTGTTTGAAGGGAGGTGGGTTTAGGTTGAAGGGTAGTTTGGGGATTTTGAGGGTGGGATTTGGTTTGAAGTTTGGTTTTTTGTTTTGAAAGAGAGAGAATCATGGGAATATTGAGTTTTTTTAATTTGTGTTATTTTATTCCAATTTGTGTTGATAGGGTTTTTTGGTGGGGAGAGATGGATCATGGAATTTGGACATTGCCACATTGGGTATGGTATATTGGTATTGAAGGATGAGTGTACATTATTTGGCTAGATGTCTTGATGGTGATATTTCAAGTGGAAATTATTATAAAAAAAATAAAATAAAAAGACTAAATGAGATTAGGTAATTAATCAATAATTGTACTACGTATTTATTTCTTGTAAATGTTACCCTATATGTTGTTGTACATATGCATAGCTTTAAAATTTGAAAAGTTATGCAATGTGTTACATATAGTAATCTTCTACCTGATATGCGAGTATTCATTAGAATTTTTTTTACGGCAATGGAATGATAAAATTGTTTGGATGACAAAAATGTTCTACATGACTCTAGTGCAATATATCTAGTCTTTCTGCAACACTTAACAATAACTACACAATGTATATCAGTGACTAAAATCAAAATGATTTTATATTTGAGCTACATATACGATTTACTAGGGAAATTTTCAAGGTAAAATTAATTACAAATCAATTCCCAATCCACACAAACACATTATTGATTGCCTTGACTTGACCTTGCTTAAACACTAACGCAATGAGACAACATCATGAACAACAAATTATGCGTTGACATGTAAAGTGACTGAACATTGGAGAGAGAAACTCAGAATCAGTGTAAAAAGGGGTAGAAAAGTATTTGGGCCAACGTTGGAGAGATACATGGAGAGGAAGAGTGGATTGGGCTTTGTGGTCCAGGAGTTTCTATTCTACGGTCCAAATTTCTAATGATGCTTCTGGAATTGTGTGTGAGATTTGTGGAGAAGATATGGGCTGGGCTACTTGATTCAATAATTAATTGTTATTGGGCTAATGTGTACTTTATTTGGTATGAGAGATTAAAAAAAAAGTTTCATGTTATATGAGAGAATGAAAGAATTTAATGATTGAAAAGGGAAGTGATACGTTTAAATTGAAACTTCCATTTATTAAAAGTGATACATTTAATAAAAAAAAAAAAAAAAGAGGAAGTAGATAATGTAAACAAAATTTGTCTTTATGGAATGTATCATGACCTTTTTTCTTTCCAAGTCGAAGACAGTCGAAGCACTCGTACTTATTATTATGTTATTCCTCGATACCAAATTACTTACACTCGTCAAATGACTTTATACTCCACTCCATAATGTTTAGTACTCAGCTCGTATGTAGTTGATAGGCTGTTGATCAAACATGACCAAAGTTAGTTCAATCCTCACATTATAAATCATTATTTGTGTGGGAGTAATCCACAATAGACGTAGTACCTAATGAATTGACAAATTGACAGTTGTAAATTTTTTACTAATGAAATTACTCCGTAAATGTGTGTGGAAATGGTAAAGGTCTTTAGAAAAGACATTTTAAAAACCATACATAACCAGAAAGCCTAAAATGGCAACCAATTTTCCAGTCAAATTGAGTTGTCAACCGTCCAATTCAAGAATCTCAAAGACTTTATCAAAGTCATAAATTAAAGATCAAAGTTAAGATGACCTCAACATTAGATGACAACATATATACTACAATTTTTATGATGCATAAATTTTAAACTAGTGAAAAACCAAAGTCAGACTCCATCTCGGGGGTATTAAATAATAATAATTTACTTTATATAAAGTGATCGATTATAGTCACTTCACTTGTTCACATTAATTTTGTCTACAAAATTGGGTGAGAGTTCTACGCATACCAGGGCTAAGGTCATTATTTACTCATTATATGTTCACCTAATTAAATTTCACTCAGTTGGATTTATATTAATTAATCAATTAATTTGAACATCATAATAGAAGTATATAGGCTCATTAAATTAAATAAACTTTATTGTGAAACCCTTTTTAATCTTTAACTTAACTAAATTATCTGAATTTTTACAAAACTTATTTTTTTATAAATACGTGATCCTACACTCATCTACTTTTTTTTTTTTTTTTGAAAAACACTCATCTACCTTTTAAAATTACTTCATTTTTGTGTGCAAAGAAAAAAAAAACAAAAAAAAACTTCATTTCACTTTATGAAGTACTTTATATACATTTTGCTTACGTCATTCATCACCTATTTCATTCCACGTATTTTTTAATTATATTACATATATTCAAATCGAAAATATGACTACAACATGAGTATTACAATAATAAATAAAATAGATTTGGGCTGTAAAAATTTGATACTCACGTACTATATAATTATACCTTCACGTAAACAGAAATCTGTAAGCTCAAAATTATATGCGATATGCTCGTATTTAATAATTAAATACGGAGTATTAAATCTCTTAAACCAAAATTAAGATTTAAGAAGAACAAAATTTGGTAGCTGCTCAAAAGACCAGCAAACAATTATCATTAATTATCCAATTATCTGTCATTTAGATCTTAACAATATTGCAAGATCAAGTATTGGGACAAAATATATATGATCTTGTTTTGTCATTTAGTTACATATAACTTTATTTTAATATTTTAGCTAATTAGCTAGCTACTAGCCAACTCATCACACATATACTATTGTACCTCAAATTTTCAATTGCTACATTATTATCTCGAATTGATATTCTGTAATAAACACTAAAAGAAAAAATAAAAATAAAGGTAATTATTGTACTTTGAAGCTGTACATTTTACGTGAATCGATTTCCCACTTGCATGAATCATGGGAGTATTTTTCGATTTCCATGCATTTATACATACGTACTGTCTCCAGGTACTTACTCCACTATTCTCTCTTTTAATAATTAACTTTCAGTTCCCTTAACATGCATATCAACATCAATTGGATTCATCACCTAATTTCTTGATCTTCAATTCATCTTTGGACTAATCCACAATTCCACGAAAATCTCTAGAATGTCCTTATATATAGCCATTAATCCTCATAAATAAATTCTACTATTTGTATTCATAGACCTAGGCAAACAAAGATTGTTGTCACTTTCGTGGCTATGTCCATCACACACGAACACAAAAGGAGTGTTACGTTGGTTGATCAACACTGATATATACCATTAATGAAACAAGATCACAGGAGAAAAACTAGCACAACAAAATCAAAGGTGTACATCACTAGTCGTCGTACATACATAAATATTAAACTCGGTCCACATTAATAGTCCATCTAAGTTCAATCTCACGCTAACTTAGTCTATCAATTAAACAATGTCACACATCCGTACTTCTAAGTTCTAACCCCTATCTTATATGCAATTTAACATATCCTTTTTAGCTTAGCTAAGAATAACAATTACGTAGTATATTTCTTTTATTCATCAACTACATATTACATAACACTTTCTAATCTTATCTATAAAAACGTAGAACAATATTGATATTTTTTCCTTGTTAAAGTATTGGATTTAAGATGAGATATGGACAAAAGAAAATGGTGCATTTGTACTATTACAGCCAAACACCCTTTATTTAATTAAATTCATTTAGCTAACGTGGCCTTGTCTACTAACGGACAGTGGAGATTAAAGAACTACTTTAATTAATTAGTCCTTTGAAATATACAAACAACTAGTATATGATTATATGCCCCACCCCCAAGAATATATTATACTCAAACTCCAATAGCATATAGTTTAATGTAAAGTTCCAGTTGCATGAATCACGATACTTGATAAATTGGCTAAATTTGTTAAACTTAATCATTTTGAGTCCCTTAAGTCTAATCACTTCTATCTCAATATTCACCACGAGTATGACTATATTATTATTTTATTTTTTTTTATTATTAAAAAGGTAAGAAAAATTAAATATTAGGAAACTCTCTTCACGATGAGAACGAATATGATTACATCACAATCATATGAAATACTTATACACTATCAAAAATCTATATAGTATTGACAGTATACCATCATGATGCTCTAAATAAAGTCGCATTTTCCTGTAATAAAAAAGTCGCATTTTTTTATTGTACATTGAAACGTCAAACTAGATTATTGTATTATTGATCGATCCATGGATAACTATAATGAGATGCACATTTGTTTCAAAAACAAAAAACAATGAGATGCACAATGCACATAGTATATATGCAAGTAGATATATTTTCATAGCAATGTGAACAAAAAATCATATCATATCATTGGAAGTCCAGAGAAGATATGCTAGCTAGAATGGTTAATTAATTAGTCTATGCTTTGATGTATTTTATTTTAATAATTGGGTAGGGTTGACCCATGCTTTGTATTATTGTAAAGACTTCACGTATCCCACTAGCATCTTTATTATCCCTATATATGTAGCATCATCACCAATATCATCTTCCTTAGACTATTTCTTAGCTTCCCTCTAAAAAATCAAAATAAAATGGCCATTTCTCTCTCAAATATGCAAGCTCTCCCCTTCAACACAAACCATAATCTTTCCCTTAGATCCGAAAATCCATTTCCTATAACATTTACAACGCGAAATCACCTTTTTGAAAATTCGAAGGTGGGAGCTCTTACCATTAAACCGACCTCATCAGAAGTACAAGTTTTATCAAGTGATGCATTGACATCATCTAGAGTGATTGAAGAGCCTTGGAGAGAAACAGGAGTAGAGTATGGATGGAATGAGTATGGGCCTACAATGAAGGAAAGGGCCGAAAATGAGTTAGTGGATCGTTGGAAGGAGATCCATGGGGAGGATGATTGGGTTGGGCTACTTGATCCAATGGATTCTCTATTACGGGCCGAGCTTATCCGATATGGTGAGATGGCCCAAGCCTGCTATGATGGCTTTGATTTTGATCCATTCTCAAAGTATTGTGGAAGTTGTAGGTATCCAAGACACTTGTTCTTCAAGGGTCTTGAAATGGAAGATTATGGGTATGATGTAACAAGATACTTGTATGCTACATCCAATATTAACCTACCAAACTTATTTAGGCACTCAAGATGGCCCAAGGTTTGGTCCAAGAACGCTAATTGGATCGGGTATATCGCGGTATCCAACGATGAGATGTCCAAGAAATTGGGCCGTAGGGATATCAGTATTAATTGGAGGGGCACCGTGACCCGGCGTGAGTGGGTCCATGATCTAATGGACTTCCTTAGGCCAGTCTCCGACGAGAAGATCCCATGTCTAGACCATAATGTCAAGGCCGAGTCCGGGTTCTTGGACCTATACACTGATAAGGTCCCGGATTGCAAGTATTGCAAGTTCTCGGCCCGTGAACAAATATTAACCGAGGTGAAACGTCTATTAGAGTTGTACCACAATGAAGAAGTGAGTATAACAATAACAGGTCATAGCTTAGGGAGTGCCCTAGCTATTTTGAGTGCATACGACATAGCCGAGACAGGCATCCACATTGGATCAAACAACCAGGCTAGACCCATATCCGTGTTCTCATTCTCGGGTCCACGTGTCGGGAACCTGAGGTTTAAGCAGAGGTTGGAGGGGCTAGGGGTGAAAGTACTTAGGGTGGTGAACGTGCATGATATGGTTCCTAAGGCACCAGGATTAGTAATCAATGAAAGTTTACATCCGGAGTGTTTAAAATTTGCGCAATGGTCACCTTGGAGTTATTGTCATGTAGGGGTTGAGCTTGCTTTGAATCACAAGAATTCTCTATTTCTTAAGGACACCAACGACCCAGCTTGTGCCCACAATTTGGAGGCCCACTTACATCTACTTGACGGGTTAGTAATCTTATTATATTCTCGATTTTTTTCATTTATATTCTTTTACTCTCTCCATTAACTTTTAGTTGTAACTTTGAAATATTTTATATTAGATGAAGCTCGTGCGATGCACGGTTTATTAGAATTTTTTAAAAAAAATATTTTTCATATTATTAAATTGTTATTATACTTCATCCGTTTCATATTACACGCAACAATTACTAAATATGACTGTTTCACATTACTCGCAACAAGTTATTTTTTTTCCTTTTTTAGTAAGTTTTTAAGGGTGATTTTACAAAATTACCCTTACTTTTATTTTTAAACACCTTAATTAAACTATTGTTTTTATCTCATTAGGTTAAACTCTACATTTAATCATTTCCACCAAAATCATTTCCCCCCCCCCCAACTAAATTCATCATCACTTTCAATTGCCAACCACCACCACTACCATCACCACTACTACCACCATCACCACCACCACACCCAGAAATTCTCTCTCTTTCTTCACCGATCTACCCTCGATTCGACCGCAACAACTCACCGGAAATCACGCCGCTGTCGGTTGCCCTCGCTTGTGGGTTTTGGGTTCGAAATCTGGGTTTTGGGTTCAAAATCTAGGTACGTGGGGTGGTGGTGGGTTCGAAATTTAAGTTCGTGGGTGGGGTTCGAAAATTTGAGTTCGTGGGTGGTGATGGGTTATGGATTCGTTGTTGGTGGCGAATTCGTGGGTCGTGATGGGTTGTGGATTCGTGAAGATGATGGGTTGTGGATTCGTGGTGGCGGATTTTGGATTATGAGTTTAGCTAGGGTTCGTCGGTTGTAATGGGTGGTGGTGAGTTGTAGTGTGTTCGATGTTCGATGGATTTGTGGGTGGTGGCGGATTCGTGGATTGAGTTCAGGGTTGTGGGTGGTGGTGGATTGTAGTGGGTTTGGTGTTTGCTGGTTTCTTGGTGGTGGGTGGTTTCGTGGTGCTAAATGGTGGTGTTGGGTGGTTTCGGGTGTGCTCGGTGGTGGACTGGTGGTGGTAGGTGTTGGTGGTGGACTGGTGGTGGTAGGTGTTGGTGGTGGTGCTAGCTGTTGGTGGTAGGTGGATTGTTGGTGGTGGTGCTAGTTGTTGGTGGTAGCTTAGGTGGACTGTTGGTGGTGGTGCTAGGTGTTGGTTTTGGGTTGGATTAGTACTTAAGTGTATCCCTAATTTTTCAATAATCAAGCTTAAGATTTTTTGCCTGGGAGTCCGCAATCCCCTCCTTTGTTGCGAGTAACTTAAAACGGAGGGAGTATTAGTTTTAAAATATTAGATAAAATTCCTATCTCAAAAGATATATTTTGTATTTAATTAACTTAAACTTTAAAATCTCATTCGTCAATTTTGCTTACGTAGCATTTGAATTATTTAATTGTAAAAGAAATTAATAATCTCTTATTTAATTGGCTACAACTTAAATTTATAATCCTACATGGCGCGCTAAGAAAATTAAATTGTATGTGACTCTCTAAAAATTCGGGGAAAAACTCCATTTATATATATATATATATATATATATATATTAGATTTCACAAATAATACCACAAAGTTGTAACTATAAGTTAACGGAGGTAGTGTTATTTGTATATTATTCCCCTACAATGCATGGATGAATAATCATATAAATGTATAAATGTATAATACTAGTTCCTTACGTCATAAATAAACTATATATTTTCAAAGTGTATCATGATTAATTTATTTTTTATTTAAAGGAAAGAAAAATATAATAACAGGGAAGCATTTTCTCAAGGATATTATTTAATGCAATGGAAGAAAGGATATGGAAAAGAAGAATATTTTCATGAATTAAATATTCAGTATCAGTAATTTAGTCTGTCAATCAATATATGCCATAAAACAATACTGCCATGTTGAATCTATTTTGATTTTGTATGATTCTATATTGTAACGCAGGTATCATGGAAAAGGGAAAAGATTCCATCTAACAATGGGAAGAGACATAGCATTAGTGAATAAATCATGTGATTTTTTGAAGGATCACTATCAGATCCCTCCTTGCTGGAGACAGGATCAAAATCGAGGGATGGTTAGGAGTAAGGATGGCCGTTGGATCCAGGAAGAGCGTCCAGTTCTAGACGATCATCCTGATTATACTCATCATCACCTTAGACAGCTCGGACTTTCACACTAATATTCTTCCTATAACCTTGATTTGGGATCGAATCTTGTCTACATCACAAACCCTATAACACTTCATAGACCCCTTCCAAAAGATACTCTCGTGTACTAGGTGTGCATAAGCCAAAGCTCCATTTCCACATTGTAAATCTCAAAATCATTATATCTCTATTTGTAAACCAAGTACAAAGTGTGTACAATATATAATGTTTGTAGTTGTAGTTAGTTTATACTTGTAATATGGAGTACTACGTATTGGTCATAATCCCTTTTATTGGAAATAATCGACAAACAAGTACTTATTTGAAACATCCAAAAAAGAAGAAATTGACAACTAAAATGGGACAGAAAGATAAAATACTGTATTAAGACAATTAAGGCTGAAAGAAACTCACTAAACAATCTAAACAACTCATGAATTATTGCTTTGTCAAAATCTGGTAACATATTTCCGAATGAAGAAATACAAATGCAGTCCTACTTCGAAATAACAGAACAAGGAAAATGGTGCAAAAACAAAAATCAATCAAGATCCCAACAAATCACAATGTACAGTATCAAATCGGTAAAGGACAAGGGACAACTGAGGTATACAACAGAACAATCAGCCTTCAGTAAGCACAATTGCAGTTATATGCACATTATTCATAATTACAACAAAATAAACTCCAGTACCATGAAGATTTTCAAGTTCTGGTTGAAGTCTTCGGCTTTTGTAAGCATAAAAGCTCCATTGTTCATGATCAAGAGGATGAATCACCCTCTGGAGGCAAAATTGACATGGAAGATTCATCACAGCAAGCATCTAGTTACTGTTGCAAAGATATGAAATGTTACAGGACTATAACGACGGGAACACCAAATGTTAAACTTAAAGAAAATGTTGGTGCAAGAAGATGACAAGAAGATGCATCAATATGTTCATTCTATCCCAGGTACAAAATTCTTGTCCATTTGTTCAGGATTATTGTCTAAAGTTCTTCCATTCAAAGGTTATCTTTTCTCAAAAGAGAAAAATTCAAAGCAAAGTAGCCATTACACAAATAACATTATATATTCTTCTTCAAGTTTCAACTTTGTTAAAGTTCACATTGGCAATGGGGTCGTAGTGTCCAAACAAGATGTTTCAAAAGAATCAGCATTTTCTTTACAACAAAAACAGCTAGCATGTATAGCTTCTCACAAAGCATGCTATGCATAGAATTTGGTAAACTTACATGCAGATCATTAGCTAAGGTTACAAAACTTCTTTCACTCAGCTGTATAAATAAAACAATCCAAAATACTGAATGTTCATTAAACAAAATCACTGGAAGAAAAATGTTATTTTGAAGGAAGCAAAAAATGTTTCTGATTTGGAAAATTGGAGGCATTAACTGACGTGCCTAGATAACAAGAGGTATCATATTGCAATAGAGTTGGACTAGAATACTTAATTTCTATATTTCCATTCTTCACAAAGCAACATGGGTATACGAAATAAGCATGAAAAAATACATGGATGTTTGTGTATGGTGTACCTTGGTAAGTGTTTTAATTCTGATTCCCAATGCAGCCTGTGCACAAGCCTAAACTCCTGCAGCAGCTTTAGACTCGGAATCCTTTTTACCCTGAACATTGAACAGGGAGGGTATCAGAGCTCTATTTGAAAAGAGAATTAATCTATAATCAAGATATACTACGTACAACGGTACAATACACATGGTTTACAGTATCGCACTAATTATTCTCGCATGGTATGGTATTGGAAAAAAAAAAACAAAAAAAAAAAAAAACAAACTAAGAGTCTTAAGATAATAGTCTCCTGATGGTATAACAGAATATTCATAGCATAATACAATGTTATGACTTCTATCAGTAAATAATTACCATAATTGCAAATCAAGTTTCTAACCTTTGGCAGCTCACTGCGAATTTGGCGTGTAGGCGTCCTCATTGTGACAAACTCTTCTGCTGCTGTGGGATGAATTCCAATTGTTGAATCAAAGTCTGCCTTTGTCAAGCCAGCTTTCACTGCAACTGCAAACCCCTGAGATTTCACAAATTTCAGTCAAATAACAGCTGCTTACATAATTGTATCACAACATAGCCTCAAGACAAGTTGTGCATAAACCTGAACTATCTCTGGTGCATCATCTCCACACATGTGCAACCCAACGACTTTGTCAGTCTTTGCGCAGACTATAAGTTTCATGTAAACACGATCTGGAAGACCAGATAATGTGGCCTTTAAAGGCCTAAAATTTGCAGAGTACACATCCACATCACCGTATGTTTCTATGGCCTGTAAAACCCAACATTTTTTTAAGTAAACTAATCAACAATTACCAACAGTCTAGAGGTAAGTAAAGTCCTCACTTGCTCCTCTGTGAGGCCAACTTGGCCGAGGGGTGGCTGAGAAAACACAGCAGATGGTATAGCTCTGCACAAAGGTAAACAGAAACATCTGTCACAAGTTGCTATAAATTTCACAATTTGTGACAAGTGAAAACCACAAATTGAAGATAATAATTAGTTACTCTACCACTCAGCTCAAAGACATAGAAAAAGGAGAGGAAAGAAAATCAGTAATCATAATTCGATTTTTAGGATCAGTCATAATATCAGATACGTTGAGAGGTTTTCCTCAGGGTCATTAGCGATCTAAAAAATGAGAGGATTTACTCAGGGTCATTAACTGTCATTCGCCAACTAGATATCTATTGTATGCTTAAAGCCATCAACCAATTAATTAACTTTCCTAAATTGGCCAAAAAAATTTGACAGCTTGAAGTGTCAATTGGAAACATAAAATAATTTATGATCAAGAAAACATGAGACAGCTTGAATCATGATCTAATTTATGACAAGATTTGCCAAAGAGTTCACCAGGTAGGACTTGGAGAGGGCTTTCTCATGCAAAAGTGGATATAAGATGTAGCCTATAAATCAATCAAGGGCTAAAGTCACAGATGGTCTACAAATTTTTGTAAGCAAGCTTATTCATAAAGCACTGGCTATGCCATGTAAGACCCTTATGATCTACGTGGCAGAGCCAGTGCTTTACGAATGGGATTGCTTATAAAACTAGACGAGACAAATACATGGCAGTATGGTACAAAATCAATTACGTATAATACAAATCTCCTTCCAATTGTAAAAAGTTTGCCACTAATTGATAATGAATTGGCGGGTGTGAGCTTTCCTAGTACTGCTACTTATTATCTAGATTTCAGCAACTAGAGTGGACTCATTGGCATGGACAACATCCATTTTGGTAGGCCAAAACTACAGTGCCAGCTCTCCCACTAAAATTGCCCTATCAAAAGGATATATCATACAATTTTCATATGACTGCTTGTTTGCATCTATAGCCTCGTTTCTTATTCAAAAGTATCTACAGAGGTCTTCCAGACGTGATCAACTCTAATAGTCTTCCAAAAGTAGCACAGGCCATTTCACAACCTTAAGTAGTTAAGTGTAAGGGGCTTCTATCTGAATTTTAGTGGTCTAGGTCTTGCAAAGTATTCATAATTTAAGTTGTACTTCCAAAGGTGAGAGTGATCCTTTTTTATGCATTTTATAATGGCCCAACTAGGCTCCAGCAACATGGAAGAGCTTGGGAACATGAGAATGGCCTAAGTTAGTACGGAATTTGGTTGAGGTTCCCATCTTTCCTTCACCACAGTCAGCTACAGTAGCCTCACAAGTCAGCTATTGCATATGAATAGTTGAAAAGTCTTTATATGGAGATAAAATGGGTCAAGTGTCACCAGCTTAAAATGCATCCTATGATTAAAGGAGGTTTCCCATTGTCTCTGACCAACTTATTTCTAAGATTTTTCCTCACAGTATCTCCTTTTTGCTGGAAGGCAGATAATTATGTAATAAACTAACCTAAGGAGGGGTATAATGGATAGTATAGTATTACTATGTTAATAATCTTTAGTTTGATTATAAATAGAGGGGAAGGGGAAAGGAAGAGCAGATTTGTGAGTGAACTTTTAGGAGAATAGTGACCTCAAGTTACTAGGAGAGTAGTGACCTGTAGTCACTAGTGGAGAGTGGTAATAGGCTAAACTACCGATTTCGTACGAAACCTTTCAGCAATATTAATCAAAGTTTGACTCTTTCTCTTATTTTCTTTGTGCAATTGTTGAGTAAAAACTGATGTTCTTTGAGTCCATTACATAACAATTAAGACCAATAGAATACATATAAATAACAGCAAAAAGGAGTTCACAATATGAATAAAAATTGCATTACTACCATCTGTTTACAGAATAACAAATTACCGGTAATCAGGTTTTGTTGGCTCATTAGCAAACAGAGTCTTTGCTAATGCTCCTCCCTCCATCAAAGCAACAGGAGTCAAATTCACTCTATCAGTGACATCACCCACTGCCCATATAGAAGGAACTGATGACTGAGAATACTCGTTGACCTGCAGCAACACTACAATTAGAAACACGCAAGAGTATTGTTTAAGGGTTAGAAACACCATTGACATTCAAGATGTTACCTCTATGGCACCATTCTTATCCATCTTTACCCCCAAAGCTTCCAACCCCAAGTTCTGCAGTTTACATAAGAGCTCACATGAGTAATGCAGTATCCACATTCCACAGGCAATTACAAAGTTAAAAATAATTGGTGAATCTTTGACTAACATACATTAAAAACTAATATAATGGGTAAAAGGCACTGTATGCAACAAGAGAAGAAAGGATGACCTTAGTATTTGGTCTTCTCCCTGTTGCAAACATGACGTGGGAGAAACCATCAACAGTTTCCTTGTTGGTTTTCAATGACAAAGTTCCATCTGCAGACTTTGTGATAGCTTGGGGAGACTCTTCTGTGTGGAACTCAATTTCTCTCAAGGCCATCTGGTCAGCAAGAAAATCTCTGATCTGCAAAGCAACATACGTAATTAAAACACAATCCCATATCTGATATGAAAGTAGCCAAGAGCTAAAAAACGTGTGCATCATAGGCGTAACACCACCTCCTCATCAAAGCCTCTCAGAATCTTCTTTTGACGAATGAAAACATGAACATCGCTTCCCAAACCATTAAAGATGCCAGCAAACTCCAAACTAATGTATCCACCTCCAATAATTGCGATTTTCTTGGGCTTTTCCGGGAGATCAAGAGCAGTATCAGAATCAATAGCATACTCGCTGCCAGGAATATCAGGAATAAATGGGCGGCCCCCAACAGAAATCAAAATGTGTCTCGCTGAATAACGTTTTCCATCCACATCAACTGTGTGAGGATCAACAATCTGTTTTCAATGATAAAACATGATGTTATGGCAGTGAGACGTCAATATAAAGAAGCACCTAAGTAAGTTTAAACTACCGTCATAGCATAATCATCAAACCTTTCCACGACCTTCAATTAGCGTGACACCTGAATTATTCAGGATATTCTTGTAGATGCCTGTGAGGCGTTGAAGTTCAGCATTCTTATTAGCAATCAAGGTGGCCCAATCATGCTTGGGTTCAGCATCATAACTCCATCCGAACCCATGACTCTCCTCGAATTCATGAGAATATTTAGAAGAATAAACAAGGAGCTTCTTTGGCACACATCCTCGAAGTACACAGCTGCATAAAGTTACAAAAGACAAACATCAGACAAAAGTTTCTGAAACAACCACAAAAGCATGGTTTCCAAGCCTAGCTACAAACTAAAGCAATATAGCAATTTGAGTAATTCAAACTCAACCGAAGCTATGATTCTAGTTGAGAGTTGCAAGTTCATTTGGAATTTCAAGTTTCAGGGTCCCTTATGATAAAGTCGAGCTCAGATTAGAGCTTTTCTAATTCAAGTCATGCTTACCCACACGAACACACAGCCACACCTCTTTCTTTGAGCCTTTTGAGAGCCTAACCTAGCATAATGATCCTTCTCAATGGCTCCAGACCATCACTTCCTTTCTACATAGCCATCAACTAAAACCTAACACAGCTAGATAGTTATATATACCCGAGTGTACTGTACACATATTTTGTACTCATTTTTATTGTCTTTCATTTAATCATCAAATAAGGAGCAAAAAACTAACTTTGAGTTAGTTGGGTGTACTGTGCATCCGGATGTATATAACAAATTCTACTAAAATCCATCAAACAATCTACCTACAAGAGCTAAAATTAGAAACTTTGACACGTGATTTTATCATGCATTCCGAAATAAATATCATTATCATATATCATAACCGAAAAAACAAAAGACAACAATCACCAAAATAATCACCATAGTAAAAACACAATCATATGAGCTAAAAGTAAAAACTTTAACGCATATTTTCTCCTGCATTCTGAATTCAACATCATCATCATCATCATCATATATATTATAACAGAACAAACAAAGCAATAACAAATCAAATCATAAATTAATTAATTAAACCTCAATTAATCAACAAGAGATAAAGAAATTACGTTCCACCAACACCACCAGCAGTCTCAGACGAAATAGTACTAAAAGGAAGCTCACAAACAGCAACCGAAGCACCAAATTGCGAAGCAAAACGCGAAGCTCTCACGCCGCCGCTACCAGCACCAATGGTAAAGAGGTCAAAATCGTATTGCGCGTCATTATCGGAAGAAGAAGAAGTTGACGATGATTCAGCTCGAACGGAGAAATTGCGGCGGAGAAGAAGGTGGCGTTGAGGAGAGAGAAAGTGTAGGGTTTTGGGAGAAACGCGAGAAGATGAAGAGAGAGAATGAGAGGAAGAGAAGGAGGAGAGAGAAAGGAAATTAGGGCGAGGAAAGCGTTTGCAGAGAGATTGGAGGGTTTTAGAGGAAGAAGATGAAGAGAAGGTGGTGGTGAGTTTTGGGGTGGTGTTGCTCAAACATGTCGCCATTTTTATGTGGAGTATAGTGTTTCTGGGTTTTTATATGTTTTGGGATTTTATTTAACTATCTCTTCTCAATTAAACTATTTTTTTAAAAAAAAATATTAGAAAAAAAAAATGGAAGAAATTAATTAACTCAACAGGATGAAAAAAAATATATATAAAAGGACAAAAGTTAATCAATTAAGAACTTAGAAGGATGAGGAATCAAAAAATAGATGGAACAAAAAATTTGATGAGCTTTTGTGGTGTGTTGTTTTCAATTTCATACTATAAATAAAAAAAAAAAATCAATTAAAAAGAAATAACAAATAGATGGAAAAAAATTGGATTTTTTAAGAGACGTAATTGTGCATAATTTGAATACATTCGAGTATCCGACAATCAAAAAATTCACCACTTCACTACGTCATAAGCTGGAAATCTTGGAATAGATTTTCTACTCTATAATAATGATAGTTTTAAATTAGGGAGGATTGTCCGAAATTGAAAGGAGATTGTAGATGATAAACGAGTTTAATTGATTAAAGTTTTAAAGGACGATATTCAAGAGTTAGATCAAAATTGCGACCTTACAACACTTGCCTTTGTGGCTCTTTTCATTTTCCACACCCAATATATATATATATATATATATATATATATATATATATATATATATATATATATATATATATATATATATATATATATATATATATATATATATATATACTAGTGAGTGACTCCGGGCGTTGCCCCGGACTGCTATTATTGTAGATGTACAATAGGTAATTTTTTTTAAAGGTTTTTTAAAACTGCAATTGTCACTGTCAAACCAAAATTGAGTTATTCTTTCAATGTAGTTTTTTTTAAAAAAAAATTTATTAAACCTTATGGTTTGTAGTTATATGAATTATTTTCCATACAAACAAAATAGTTGATATTGGCTTAGATGGTGAACCTCCTTATCCTTATGTTTTTATATGGACTAATGTTAGTTGCTTGAGTGATGTGGGATTATTTGAGTGATGATGTGGCATGAGGAAATGGTGGGAAGATGACATGGCACGACAAAATAGAAACTACGTGGCACATCGACATTTTTAGGAACGCCTTTTAATATATTAGTATAGATTATCTTGAAGTGCTCATATTTTGGAACTGAGGGGGTTTTGTTTAAATTTTCTTATTGGAAGCCTTCTTTTTCTCTCCTCTATAATATTTTCATCGGGATAGTATCTATGAATGGAAGATATTTATGATTTAATACTCCAAAATTTTGTATGACTCGTCCTTGTTGAGTACCAGCAATTTTGAAAAATTGTTCCATTCTTATAATAGGCTATTTGATTCAAGAATGGGAAAAGGCAAGAAGTTCAAAGAGGGAGGAGAGGAAATGAATGATAACCTTTCAATTACTTTGTTTGGTTGGGCAAAGGGTTCTGATTCCTAAACAAATATTTGGTGACATTCCCTAGGAAATGTTGTTGTTGTTGTTATTATTATTATTACTAGTTTTGTACCCGTGCGATGTTCGGGTTGTTTATTGAATTTTAAGATAAATTTTTAATCTATATGTCAAATTTTAAAACATATCATTGATACAAAATTAGTTAGGGATTGATGTGTTTTTGTAATGATTTAAACTATATAGTAGGCATGTAATGACTAATAATAATAACATTGGTGAAAAACATTTTTTGACCCGTAACCTGAATTAATAACCCTGTCCGAAATGACTCGTGACCCGACCCGATTGACAGGTCTACACATAGTAATAAAATTATATTAGATTGTAAAGTATATTGTTTTAATTTATTAGAATATACTACCTCCGCTCCAATTTACTTGCAACAAAGGAATATTTTATGTCTCACAAATAATACCCCTTTGTTGCGAGTAAATTGGACCGGAGGTAGTATTATAAATAATGGATGTGGTGCATTTTGAGCTAATTCCTTTGCTCCAAAAAAATACAAAAAATAAATTTATATGATAATTTATGAGAGTTATAATTTTTTTTAATAAAATTATATTTTAATTTGTACATATGAAATATTGATACTTTATCGAAAATAAAAATCTAAATTAATAATTTTATCCTAAAATCTATCCAAATTTGATTGAAAATATAATTCTAAATTTACTTTTTTATCCTACAAATTGAATTCTATATAACTCTATCCTACGTGGCGTGACACTTGGCGTAGTTTAGCTTTATATATTAGTTATATGATAGTGCCCAAGTAATTTGGCCAATAGTGGGCCAAGAAATATTGAATGGTGATGTAGGGGGAGGTTTCCGAGGAATACAAATCACCTCTGGGTTTTTTCAGATTTGGCGAGCATCGGGAATAACTAGTGAATTACAACTTTATTGTACCGCAATTGGCGCATTGGTCTTTGCAGCATTAATGCTTTTTGCCGGTTGGTTCCATTATCACAAAGCTGCTCCAATATATATATACTAGGTTAAGTCCCTTGCCATGCACGGTAATTTTTAATACTTAATATTTATCATTAGTTTAACACTATTATTTTAATTATAAAAAATTATACCTAATTGCAAAATAGGATGAAAGTTCTGTAATTATAATTTTTTTAAAAAAATTTATCACACTAAAGAAAACAGAGAGAATAATATATGCACGACTAATAAAAATAACTATGAATTACATTACAAAGTTATAGATAGCAAACTATTATTGCATATTATTGTATAAAAAAATAATATCTTTGTTTGAATGTGTACAAATAGAATATACTTATCAAATAGGAAATGAAATATTATTGCATATATTTGTATTAAAAACTTTTCTAAGAAGCTTTGGCCAAAAAAATAAAAAAGAAAAAACTTTTGGAGGGAAAAAATTTAACCAGGAGATGACAAGTGTCATTCCTGGTTTCGCCTTTAGTATAAAGTTATATATATATATATATATATATATATATATATATATATATATATATATATATATATATATATGAGAATGAGTATTTGCTTACTCTATTTGATTTGTAGTGCAAAGATTTATACATAGTAAATTGATATGTGCCGATCATTTGGTTGTTGACTTTAGTGTGTTGATACTTGATATACATAATTTTAATTAAATACTAATTATAATTTCATTTTTAATCAAATGTTTTACTTTGTTGATATGAATTAGAGTGATAGTTATAAAATGTTTAATTGAAAACTGTTTGATATTATCAATATTTATTTTGATAGTGAAGTATCATTGTCTCCATCCTTTCTCCAAAAGTTGTCATTTTACATTCACATTCAGAGGCAGACCTTTAGTGAGGCTCAAGTCACTAATATTCATCATCGGTTATTACTTTATAACACTATAAGTACCAAAACTCGTTAAATATTACTCGCAACACAAGTCTTATATGTGGCTGGCCACGCGGTGTGACCAACCATTATAGGGGTTACTTCGTTAGTGTAATAGGGATTACTTAGTCAGTATTAAAGGGGTTACTTATACTAAATAGCTTGTTGGGATGAAATTAGCCTAATTGTGAGAGTTAAGACTTCTTATTTAGCTCTACTTAATTTGAGAGTTAATCTAATTGTTGATAAGTATATTAGGTGACTCGTACTTCGTAGCTTTGTCCGCCCGATCGGGCGGACATTGCCCGGTCTGACCGGGCAGAAGAAGAAGAGGTGCCTGGCAAATTCGTTGAAGAAGCTGCTCTCGCGCCCGACCGGGCGAGCCTTCGCCCGACCGGGCGAGCCTTCGCCCGATCGGGCAGACCTTGCCCGGTCTGACCGGGCGGTGGGGGTTGGATACGTTGAAGCATTCGTATGGAGTTTTCTTCTCGCGCCCGATCGGGCAGACCTTGCCCGGTCTGACCGGGCGGAGAAGGAAAAATACGGAACGCGGATTTTGCGGTTTTAGGTTATCTTATTTTATTATTTTTTTGCCCAAGTATCTTTTAATTAGGGATTAATATAAAACCTCCCTAATATCAGTATTAGGGTTAAGAGAGACAGAGTGAGAGCCGTTCTTGAGAAATACAAGAATCATCTTTGTAATCTTTGCAGTTTATAGTGAAATCATTCGATCTCGGTGCCCGTGGACGTAGCTATCACATCGATAGTGAACCACGTAAATTCTTGGTGTTGTTCTTATTGTTTGCATTGAATTTCTTTATTGTTTTCTTGTTTGTTTACGACCTTTGCTTCCGCTGTCGCACAACAATTGGTATCAAGAGCTCAGGTTCAATCCTTGGAGAGTTTCTTGAAGATAACAATGGCAGGAGATTCAACAATAAGAATTGAGAAGTTTACCGGGAAAAATAGTTTCGGGCTATGGCAAATTAAGATGAAGGCTCTGTTAAAACAACAGCAGATATGGCGTCCGTTGGCTCCAAAGAGTACTACTTCGGAGTCAGGAGACGGACCGACTGACTCGCAGTTAGAAGTTATGGAAGAGAAGGCACACTCTACCATATTACTTAGTCTTGATGATCAAATCATCACGGAGGTGGCTGATCAGGAAACGGCGGCTGGATTGTGGCTGAAGCTGGAGTCATTGTATATGACTAAGTCGTTGACCAACAAATTATTACTGAAACAGCGGTTGTTTAGCCTCCGGATGCAGTCAGGTACTTCCTTACGGGAACATCTAGAAAAACTTAACTCTATTTTGCTTGATTTACGTAATTTAGATGTTAAAATTGATGATGAGGATGCTGCGTTGATTTTACTTGTATCTCTACCGTCTAGCTTTGAGAATTTTGTAGAGTCTTTTGTTGTTGGTAAGGATTCTATAACCTTAGAAGAAGTGAAGGCAGCACTTCATACTAGGGAACTCAGAATGAAAGCTACGAGTGATAATGGGGATAATGGTAGTGGGTTATTTGTTAAGTCCGGAAAGTCTAAAAAGAATAAGGGGTTTAACAAGGGGAACAATGCTGGGTCGGGTGCTGGAAACGGCAAGGATGGATCTAGTAAAACTACTACTAAAACATGTTATTACTGTAAAGAACCGGGTCACTTTAGGAATAATTGTCCGGTGAGGAAAAACAAGTCCCAGGCTGCTGTAGTTGAAGAGAAACCGAATGAGAGCTATAATTCAGAGGAAGATTTAGCATTAGTCAGTTCTGCTAGGTCTGATGATTTATCTGATAACTGGGTTCTAGATTCGGGGTGTTCGTTCCATATGTGTCCACGTCGAGATTGGTTTGATACATATGAACCTCGCAATGGGGGTATGGTTATAGTCGGTAACAATGCTCCATGTAAGGTCACAGGTATTGGTTCCATGAGGTTGAGGACTGTTGATGGGCGGAGGTTAACTTTGACTAATGTACGGCATGTTCCTGCTTTAGGAAAGAATCTGATTTCATTGGGTACCCTGGATGACTTGGGGTACAATGGTGTGTTTTCAGATGGGGAGTTGTGTATTTTCAGAGGTTCTGAGTTGGTACTTAAGGGTATCAAAAGGAACACCCTCTATGTTTTTGAGGGTGTTACACTGCCTAGTTCTGCGGTTTGCGCATCTGTATCTCACCAGGAGATGACTAAGATTTGGCACATGAGGCTTGGTCATATGGGGGAGAAGGGGATGCAGCTATTGTCCAAGAGGGGTCTTCTATCCGGGGTCAAGGTTGCCAACCTTGAATTTTGTGAGCATTGTGTGTTTGGTAAGAAACACAGGTCAAAGTTCAGCAAGGGTGCTCACATTACTGATGCAGTGCTCGATTATATCCATTCAGATTGCTGGGGTCCATCTAGAGTTGAAGGTATGGGAGGTTACCACTATTTTGTGTCATTTGTTGATGACAAGTCCCGATACACATGGCTTAGGTTGCTTAAGTCAAAGGATGAGGCCTTCAAAGTTTTCAAGCAATGGAAAGCTTTGGTGGAAAATCGACAAGGAAGGAAGATCAAGAAGCTACGAACGGACAATGGGCTAGAGTTTTGCAAAGACGAGTTTAATCAGTTCTGTGCAGATGAGGGTATAGGTCGGCATCATACTGTCAGGAAGACACCACAGCAGAACGGTGTAGCAGAACGGGTTAATCAGACACTGCTAGAGAGAGTCCGATGCATGCTCTCTAATGCAGGGCTTGGGAGGAGGTACTGGAGTGAAGCTGTGTTAACAGCTTGTTATGTCATTAATAGGGGTCCTCATTCTGGAATTGATTCCAAAATTCCGTTTGAGATCTGGAGTGGTAAGTTGCCTAATTTTTCGAATTTGAAGATTTTTGGTTGTGTTGCTTATTATCATGTTATTGAGGGTAAGCTGGATCCACGAGCCAAGAAGGGGTGTTTTGTTGGGTACGGGGATGGTGTGAAGGGGTTTAGAATTTTTTCACCTTCGGAGGGTCGGGTCATTCTTAGTAGGGATGTTACTTTCGATGAAAACACCATGTATTCAATTAAAAATGCAGAGATTTCAGATTTGAGAAGGGAAGGAGACAATTTATTACAGACAGATGGGGTACTTGAGGTACATCAGTCTACCATTGCTGATTTACCTCGGGTACAATATATTGATGATGATGCTGATGTTCCAGTGCCGGGTACTCCTGAACCTGAGATTACTCCTACTCATTCTAACTCTGGGGATGAGGTGGAGCAATCTAATCAGGGGTCATCTAGTCAACCTGACACCATTCTTGAGATGCCTAAACGAGTTATCAAGAAGCCTGTTAGATTGATTGAAGAGATGGAGGGAAGAAATTGCTGTGTTGATGCGATGACAGGTTATGCATTGAGTGTAGCTGATGATGTAGAGTCATTTGAACCTGCCACATATAAACAAGCAATTAGTTGTAGTGAGTCTGCGCAATGGCTTGCCGCAATGGGTGAAGAGATGCAGTCTCTTTACAAGAACAGAGTGTGGGAACTGGTAAAGGTACCGGAAGGGAGGAAGCTTGTGGGTTGTAAATGGATTTACAAGAAGAAAGAAGGGTTGTCGGAAACTGAGCAAATACGTTTTAAGGCTAGGCTAGTTGCTAAGGGGTTCAGTCAGGTAGAAGGGGTTGATTTTGTTGAGATATTCTCACCTGTGGTTCGACATACTTCTATCCGTGTGTTATTGTCAATTGTAGCACATTTTGATCTTGAGCTGGAGCAGTTGGATGTTAAAACGGCTTTCCTTCATGGCGATTTGGAGGAGGAGATTCTGATGAAGCAGCCCGAAGGATTCGAAGTTCCTGGAAAGGAACACTATGCCTGCAGATTGCTAAAGTCATTGTATGGACTTAAGCAATCCCCCCGACAGTGGTACAAAAGGTTTGATTCTTTTATGGTTTCACAAGGTTTTGACAGGAATTCATATGATTGCTGTGTGTATCATAGTAAGCTGGATAATGGTTCCATGATTTATCTTTTGTTATATGTTGATGACATGTTGGTTGCCACAAAGAATAAATCTGATATTGCTAGATTAAAGGAGATGCTTAACTCGGAGTTTGACATGAAAGACTTGGGTGCAGCTAGGAAGATTTTGGGTATGGAGATCTACAGGGATCGGGCTAGAGGTAAGCTTTTCTTGACTCAGAAAAGCTACATTGAAAAGATTTTGTCTCGTTTTGGGATGGAAAAATCGAAGCCTATAAGTACGCCAACTACTGTTAGTTGTAAGTTGTCTTTGTCTATGTCACCTCAATCAGAGGAGGAGTTGTCTTATATGTCTAGAGTTCCATATGCAAATGCGGTTGGTTGTTTGATGTATGCTATGGTCTGTACTAGGCCGGATATTGCGCATGCCGTTAGTGTTGTAAGCAGGTTTATGGCTCGACCTGGGAGGGAACACTGGCAAGGGGTGAAAAGGATTTTTCGCTACCTGAGAGGGACAGCTGATATTGGTCTTGTGTACGGGAATGATAAGGAATGCTTGGTCACTGGGTACAGTGATTCTGATTATGCAGCTGATGTGGATACCAGGAGGTCTGTGACTGGTTATGTGTTCACTTTGGGTGGTTCTGTGGTTAGTTGGAAGTCTACATTGCAGTCATCAGTTACGTTGTCAACTACTGAAGCTGAGTATATGGCTTTAACTTCTGCAGCTAAGGAGTCTATTTGGCTCAAAGGCCTAGTAGGTGAACTGGGTATTGCACAGGATTTTGCTACAGTGTATTGTGATAGTCTAAGTGCGATTTGCTTAGCTAAAGATCAAGTACACCATGATCGGACGAAGCACATTGATGTCAGGTATCATTTCTTACGTACTGACAAGAGGATTAAGGTGAAGAAGATTGGGACTGCTGACAACCCGGCTGATTTCTTCACTAAGCCTGTTCCGTTTAGCAAGTTTAAACATTGCTTAGACTTGTTAAATATTGATTACTACGTGATGTAGTAGGCCCTGAGGGGCGAAGTTGGGGAGCTCCTGGTGTAGGTGTGTTGGCCTTAAGGTGGAGCTTGCCCGGGGCTTGTGATGCAGGTGGAGCATTATGAGTTGTTATACTTGGAGACGAGTATGTGATGGGTCTTGGTTGAAGACTTATCGGGATGTATGGCTTATGCATGAGTCCTGCATCGGGTTTGGCTTGAGATGTTTTTTCACTATGTCTTGATGGGGTCGTTTGCTGACTACGAGTTCTCGTCAAGGTGGAGATTGTTGATAAGTATATTAGGTGACTCGTACTTCGTAGCTTTGTCCGCCCGATCGGGCGGACATTGCCCGGTCTGACCGGGCGGAAGAAGAAGAGGTGCTTGGCAAATTCGTTGAAGAAGCTGCTCTCGCGCCCGACCGGGCGAGCCTTCGCCCGACCGGGCGAGCCTTCGCCCGATCGGGCAGACCTTGCCCGGTCTGACCGGGCGGTGGGGGTTGGATACGTTGAAGCATTCGTATGGAGTTTTCTTCTCGCGCCCGATCGGGCAGACCTTGCCCGGTCTGACCGGGCGGAGAAGGAAAAATACGGAACGCGGATTTTGCGGTTTTAGGTTATCTTATTTTATTATTTTTTTGCCCAAGTATCTTTTAATTAGGGATTAATATAAAACCTCCCTAATATCAGTATTAGGGTTAAGAGAGACAGAGTGAGAGCCGTTCTTGAGAAATACAAGAATCATCTTTGTAATCTTTGCAGTTTATAGTGAAATCATTCGATCTCGGTGCCCGTGGACGTAGCTATCACATCGATAGTGAACCACGTAAATTCTTGGTGTTGTTCTTATTGTTTGCATTGAATTTCTTTATTGTTTTCTTGTTTGTTTACGACCTTTGCTTCCGCTGTCGCACAACACTAATTCGTTTTTGGCTATGTTTTTTATTAGTGCACTCATTTTTAAATTTGACTCATTGTAAATTTGTAAGAACAACAATAGTACAATATTATATCAACAAGCTAGAAGGTAGTAAAATCTTACAACAAACTTGATAAACCATAATATCTTGTCATTTCTACATTCAAAATATAAAAAAGTTTACCAAATTCGATCAGATGAAATTCACATCAAAATACATTTGGTTGAGTAGAATATGGTCATTTAATTTAGAGGGACAATCCAGACTCCTCATCCTCCTCAAGACCTGAAACATAGACAAAGTAAAGAGCCCAAATGAGACCAAACACACCCAATAGGATCCACCCAAGAAGGTTGTTGCTCAACCCAAAGGGAAGTCCTGTTCCTTCTGTGCTCATTCTCTCATCAACAAGAGCCATTGCTGGGCTCGACATGGCGGTGGCAGCAGCCGCGGCTAGCATTGAGGCACCCATCATCCCCTTGTTTGTGGTGCTTTCTTGGGTTGATGCCTTGTTGTTTTCCATTGAACATGTTACCTTGCCACCCTTCTTTGTGATTGCTGGCAATCCTGAAATATTATGAAAGTTTTCACCATTATTTCATGAGATATTGACTAAGTTTAATGAAATTGATCTATAATACACTATGAACTATCAAGAAATTTTCAGTTATATATCATGTTTAGTGACAATTCAGAAGTCAAGTGTTCCTGTTTGGTTATATGTTGCTTTTGAATTGTTTATAAATACTAAATATCAAATAAAAAACATACATTTAACATAGGGAATTACATGTATCGATCTCATTTTAAAATGTATTCTTGTTGGAGTTTGTGCCGAGTTATATGTAGATCATATCATTGTGTTGTGTGTTTGTACTCGTAATAGCTTTAGGTCCTAAGGATCCTATCCTTCTAGACAAAGTAAGATCTACTTAACGATTTATATGCCTAGGACAGCATACAAAACCCCTAAGATTGGGGGAGATCGATAAAATTTAATCAATAACAAATTGAGGGTATAACGAGATGAGAATCAAACTCTTAACCTCTTAATTGAAAGACGATCTTTTGCCCCAATACAAGTCTATAAAACAATTTTAAAAAATCATCTCCAATCAAACCAATTTGGATCGATATATTGTAAAACTACCAATGACAGATAGAAAATCAAAATATGAATATGAGAGAAAAAAGAAACATAAGGAGACGAACCGAGAACGGGAGAAGATGAAACACCAACCCTTCTGCTCTGCACAAGACTAGCACGGGCTACCAAAGAAGCTGAAGAACTAGCAGTAATGGTTGCCATTGTTTTTTCTCTCTAATTTACGGTGTTAGACCACTGCTAAGCTAGCAAAGAACACAACTTTTTTGATGAAAAGTGTGTAGAAGTGTAGTTTCTAAGTTTGTGATAGTAATGAAACTACTTCAAATTAATATTTGATGAGCAAAAATAAGTGGCAATTGAACCACTTAGCGTGGATAGATTGACGGCCCTCATTTCATATCCTTTATCTTCTATCAACCAATTGATCAGCTCCACGTGTTGTATCATCTATTTTAGTTTATCCTATGTGGCACTATGTATTTGGTTGTTTTTCTCACCCTTAAGTTGTCCAAAATGAGTAGATAATTTTCAATTTTGGGGTAAGAAATTAAGAATGCCAAGGGGGGATGATAGCAAAATTGACAAAACGGCAAATAATAGAGCGAATTTCATAACTTATTTTATAAACGATAGAGCTTTTCATGATATATGTTAAACTTAAATTTATTCCTTATGTGCGTTGGTGTGAAAAATAATACGGAGTATGGAATTCTCGTTAGTTTCGGAACAATATTAGCATGGGTGGATTAGGTATTAATGAATTATGTATACTCATATTATTGAGTATTGATTTATGTCAATTGAGCTCCTAAAATGAATACAACAATTTCTCTGCCAATTAACGTCCACATGCTCACATTTCCTTCTAGGATTGCTTAAACAACATAAATGTGCAGATTTATCAATGATTGACCGACTCACATGCAATTAGCTGTAAGAAACAGAATATGATTATATTACAAATATCTCCAGCTCCTTACACAATTAGCTCTAAGAAAGCAAGGATATCATCACTAATTTACAGCTCCAACGCAGTTAGTATATCTCCGGGTACAGTTTGATACGGAGTAACCTGCTGTGAGAGACCGAGAGTTAAGGATTCACCAAGACGCCAACACCATCGATATTTCTCGGACTTGAGTACTCATGTTAAATGATCGTTAGCAGTTTAGCTTAGAGACGAACTGAAAGCAATAAATACCATTCAAATAAAAAGAATATCATATACCAGTACATAAAAGCTGCCACAACTCTTGATTGAGTTATATACAAGTAAAGCAACCGTCATTACAAAAAAACTCTGCAAGTAATTTCTCATTTTGCTCACTATTGCTATAAGCTGGCTCAGATCAGCTCCCTAGAATACTCTGAGCAGGGTACTGGAAAAGAAAAGAATAATAATCGGCTGAATTTACATGAATTAATTAGATGAAAGAATGAACTATTCTTGTATCTGTTTGTATGACTTGAAGAGTAGTTAACAAGCCAAAATTGGCAAAAGAATATACTGTGAGTTGCCGCTGTTGGTCGAAATCCCGACCCTTGATGTCATTGCAAGCCCCCCCGACAATCCTTGTATTCAAGGAATGAAGAGCCTTCCTTCATGGGGTCTTGATGAGCGTGTGAGCCAATTTCCAGTCTCAACTAAATCATATTACCCATGAAGATTACATTGTTGCATGTAGGGATGATCATAATTCGCAAACTTGTTCCAGTATCCTTTGTACTTCTTTATCCCAATATCCAACCAAGGTTTCATGATTCCATCATAATGTAGAACTGCTGCCTGTTCAATGTCTTCCAACCTCAATACCGAATCAAATCCTAGCCCCAAAAGATGCCATCTTTGGTCCAAAGCCACTGTCTGATTATAGAAAGTAACCCAGCCTAAAGGTAGACTTCCTGCCTTCCAAAGAGGCCTTCCATTGCCCTGCAACCAGATCCAATGAGGCAAGTCATGCAACGGTGATACATAATAACTAAGGTCATAGCAGAAATGTTAAGAATCCTTGGATTGGCACCCTCATGAGGAAGATGTAGAGACAAGCAAAGGAATGCCATAAAAAAATACTGCACCTATGACACTCATTTTATCTTTCTTGAGGGTTGTCAACTCTAAGGGTTAACGAAGTATTAGTCTTAACAGTTTCATATCAAAGAGACATTTTCTACTAGCGTAATTTACTAGTAACCACGACAAGAATCAATGCATAAGTCATTTTGAAAATCATGAGTAATTCAAGGAATTGTACAGAACACAGCCTGATCTTTGAGAACAAGATGAAGGAAAGACAGACACAGAAACTGGGAAACTGGGAAAATGGGAAGGGAAAGGAGAAAGGGGGTTGGGGTGATGAAAAAAGGTTGGATGAACACACACAAAAATAAAAAAAAATAAAATAAAATAAAAAAATTAAAAAATAAAAAAAATAAAAAATAAAAAAAAAAAAAAAAAAAAACAGATGCAACATGACCAATGAAGAAGAACAAAACAAGAGTGACAATATGGTACAATGAATAAGGAAACAAATAATTCAATTTACCTCTTGAAGGAATCTACGGTAGCTTGAGGTCAAATCATGGTGTCTCCACTGTCTGAGGTCAAACAAATTCACCCCAAATGCCCATGTACATGCATTGGCATCAAACTTCCTAGCCACCAGAGGATCTGAAAAATTGATGAACATTGCCATCCGCCTGAACGAAGACTTGTCTTCTTGGCATGTCTCTACTGCACCATTAACTTTCCCCTTCATATCAATGGTCCAGAGACCACTTAAATCTCTTTGAACCACCACATCATGGTCGAGAAATACTATTTTATCTAGCTGAGGGAAAATTTCAGGAAGGTAAAAGCGTAGGTGATTGAGTAGAGACGAATATCTTGGATCACGGGCACCTTGCTTCTCGTGTGACGATTCATATTCCTGCCACCACTGAAAATCTTGCATATTTAGGACCTGGACAGTGGCTTTTCCAGGAGGATTCAACAAAAACCACATGGAGAAGGCAGGAAAATTCAGAGAATCTGTCACCACATGAAAGACAACTCTCTCCGGTTCCTGCAAGCAACACGAATGTAATGTCAAATTTAAAGTGATAATCTGAGGGTAAATATAAATATATATGTCGAAAATGAGTAGGAACATATAGCCAAAAGATTATGGCAGACTCAACAGAAATACAACAGGCAGTTCTTCAATGCCCCTAATAGGTAAACCTAAGCTTTAACCTAACTCTCTGATCAGCACCATAACGAGCATCATCATACATTAGTACTTCACAGGTCCCCATCAGTAAAAAACATAAATCTTATATTTCTGTTATAGACTGGTAATCTGATTTGTATACTTCACTGATTAAGAGGAAACTTAAAGGAGAAAGCTTGGAAATTTGATTTAACAGATTAATGGTTTCTTACAAAAGATAGTAGGTTTAGCCTACAAAGCTCATATTGGTCATAACTCTAATGAATGACTTGAGGTCACAACTCTCAAAAGGACTTTCACTCCAAAATTCTGTCTACCTTCATCCTTCCCCTCTCTCTCTCTATTTATACTAAGCTTAAGACTACTAACCTAGCTAATATTACTAGACTACCAATATTGCCCCTCCTTATGTTAGTCTATTACAATTTCTCAAATTAATTTACCCAAATTTCATTAAGTTGTACTGTACAACTTTGCAACAGCAATAACTTTGGTAACCTTCTCCAAAATAGGACCAACTCATGATTTTCTCCCAACATATCAGACTTCGTCAACCGTCAAGATAACCAGCAGATCTTTTCACCAGCCCAAGACTTTAATATTAGATGCTTTTATTTCGTGCAAAAACAAAAAAAAAAAACAACAAAAAAAAAAACAAAAAAAACCCCTTCAATACTGACCATCATACTCTATTATATTTAATAGTACATTGATTTCTACTAGAGTCCATCCTGGAAGTAAGACATTATTAAATGGAATTAGTTTGCTGAAACTATATTGCTAAAGCCTCACACTCTTTTGGCTTATTTTCACCAAAAAAACAAAAAAAAAAAAAAAAACAAAAAACAAAAAAAACAAAAAACAAAAAAACTTTTGCCACTAATAATGAAGAAGACAATTAAAAGGGGAGGAGTAATAATCCTAAACTTAGTGAGATTAAGGCAATGATACGTTCGGATAAAGACCATTTCTACAACAGTCAGATGATCTGCCAAGCCAACTTTCTGCTTCTAGTCAAGATATAAATATATAATGATAAAATTAATACACTGATTTTACATAAAAGGAAAGACCACAACCTTTGCAAACATCTCTATCCTGAATTCCTGATCATCTGACTGTTGTAAAATTGCATTTAATGTTTTGATCTGAAACTCCCAAAGCTACGTTAACAAATCCCAATTTTGCACGTCCCATCCATTAACATGGTTTAAACAGTTCAAAATGTATAGTCCTAAAAGATATGATATGCAATTATGCAGTGCATTTCACTGATATCCATAAGAGATCAGCACTCCAAGTCACACAAACAATCCATCAAAACACTAAGCAGTTACGGAGTAAAAACTAAGCGGCCTGATAGAGTTCGTCCAAAGGAAAACCTAAGAGGTACTCCTGTAGAAAACCCTTGTTTATAAGTTTCAAAAAGCAGATGTCTACTCAGAAAATAAAATTTAGATAGAGAGGGGACATGCATGCAAGAGACAATCATGAGTAAACACCATAATCAACACATAGTGAAGGGGTTTTTCCCAGACACATAAAGATTTTCAGATATTGATTAAAGGAAAATGAATAGAAGTAAAGTAGAGTGTAGAACCATAGAAAAAATAGAGCAAATGGCATTGAACACTGTGGAGTTCACAATCACTTATGATGGAACCTAACCAACAGAATTAAGTGAAAGTTAGGCAATTACCATGGCATTGGACACTGTGGAGTTCACAACCACTGCAGCAGCCAAGACATTGTCAGAGAAGGTAACATAATGATGAAGATCAGGGTTGTAAACATTCTGTTGCTTGGGAAGCTTCTGTTTTTCAGACTGCAACATAAAGTAATCTGTAGTGAGTCGCATAGAAAGACAATGCAGGCCTTTTGGAGTTGTTCTTCCCGCAAGCTCGGTAAGAAATGTTGTCTGCTTCCTCTGCGACTGGACTTGCTCTTCAGCACTGTGTGTCATTGCACGGAGCTTATTAACCATGTTTGAGCAATCTGGAAATACATGATTTGCTTTTGACAAGGTGTTCTCCATAGATTTAATTTTCTGCAGACGGCTGCAAAAACAGAAAAAAATAGTACAACAGAAATTAGAATACTTCCCATAGGCCATAACTTTATGATGACCAAATTTAGGGAGATACAGTACTAAAAGTCTCACGAGGAAACAAGAATATATCACGTTTGACATAAGAAAATTATAGCAATTAGCTACCGTGAAGAAACTATTTATGTTGATCACTTGCCCACAGTTTTCACTACTCATATAGTCATCCCTATCTACTCTGTTGATAACAAAGTAAAAGAGCTCCGAAAAGAAATTCTTTTCAAGATACAGGTCACGACACATAAATCCTTGTACAGTTTGACATATTACCTTCTCGATAATTCTGAATCTTTTCTGGCTTCCCCCATTGCCCGTTCAACTTCTTTTATACGTAACTTCAACTCTTTCACTAAATGAGTATTGCTTGCAGCCGTAGCAAAACTCAAGTATGCCCTGGCCCTAATCACCTGATCTTTCATTTGCTTCACCTTCTCATCTGTAGCTCTCCGCGTATCAGGACGTGGAGGGGCCCGAACTCCATGGTCATGTTGACTAGACATTTGATTTGAGTGAGCCTGATACACCAAGAGGAGATGTAAATATGAGTCATGCAAGGACAATAGTTGACAACTGCACATTATCTATGATGTTTTCTGCAAGTCTCAGCTCTTCACATCAGAATCAAGGGTATTCTTGGAAAGGAAAGCATGATAATAAATTAGAACACTAAAGGATGACTATCTCAGATGCCGACTGAACAATTTTAATGTGTGTTGGAGCAAAATTTTGGTCCTCTATCATTTTGAGCTATGAAGCACTCAGCATGATGTATCCTGTAAATTCTCACAACAGAAGTGGTCATGATACTTGATCCCCATAGAGGATAAATCTCAACCTTCAGGTAAAGAAAAACGATAGGAAAACCTCGATTCAAACATGCCCCAATCTACCTATTACTACCAGCTCAAATTGTTCAAAGAAAGGAGTTATGCTAGTCAATTAGTATCAAAAGTGAAAGTCATCAGCAGCTGCTGTGAGCTAGACACCTAAATGGTATCAATATATAGAATGGAGCTTCACCCTCATCCATGTCTATATTGATGACAGGATTTATCACCGTTAACAAGGTAGCTTTAGCTTTATTAGTCATAAGGCGTACCATTAGTTGTCAAGATAACTCAAATCACTCATTGGTGTCATGTCAGCAGCCAGCAATTGACAATGTGTAGATTGCCACACAGAATTTTTATTTATAAAACGCTATAAATCACTATTGAGCATAATTTATTTAGTGGATAAGTGGTCAAATTGACATTTTCAGTCTGGGACAAACAGAAAGATGTGACAGGAATAAGAAACAAAACATCTCCAAAACTGGGTCACAACGTTGTATATTTGACAATACAGGCCCAGATAGCTGAGCCCTACTAACTACTTGTGATAGCCTATAGTTGGTAAAGTGATTCTATCATCGGACAATTGAACAGTACGATTTGGACAACCATCAAAACTACAGCCGAGTATTGTCCTCAAAATCCATAACTGCGGCGATCAAACAAGCATTAAAAGCTAAAATGTAATCCTAAGTTTTCTCTTCAACTACTACAATAACAACATTCTGATATGATGATTCATGATCAACATATGAAGTTCTATAATCACTTGTTATTAAAACTTATTTCCTGTAACAAGTACCTCATTAGTTTTCGTTACGAGTTCTTCCCTAAGTTGAATTGGCTTGACTTCTTCCCCAACAAGTTGCTGAGTTCCTAAAATGCCAAATCAATAACAACATTATCAATACTCTCATCATCATCGTATAGCTAAGCTAAGAATCATCGAGCAAAATACAGTCAAGTATACTAACCCCGACGTTGTGATCCAGACTCCACCACCTTGCCGTCACTCGCCCTCGAACCCTGCACCGTTGAATCCCCACCCTGATTCTGATCAAAATTAACTACTGAGTAATTCTGATCTCTATAAACTTCTTGTTTAGGCTCTTTCACACCCTCCTTTGCTTCCTAATTTAGTTAAAATATTGAAAAATCAAAATATTATCACTAAATCAAGCTCAACTAAAATCATCATAATTATTCAAAAATACACACTACATTAATTGCGGTTATATACCTGTTCAACTGCATTTAGTTGTAACGCATCTGACTTATACTGCTGCATCTTCAAAAAAAAAAAAAAATTATAATCAATTTCTTTGACTTAATCATATACTCCGCATTAATTTATATACAAAAATGGAAAGAAATTAAATAAGAACGAAGAGAGAAAATACATACAATACTAGGTAAATCTTCAACGAAATTGCTACTTCCTGGAAAAATATTCACACACAAATTCAATCAGAAACATAAAATTATCATTAAAAATTAAAAAAGAAATGGAGATCAATAAACATAAAAATCACCTTCAGAAGTAAGAGTTTTCAGTCGAATGGAGACTAGAACAAGAGGAGCAAATACAGAAAGAGAGAGAAAAAAGAGGATGAAGATCCTCTGCCATCTTCGAAACCGCTTCATCAATAATATCAAATCAAATTAATCGAACAAAAATATAAATCGATTAAGACGATCAAACAAATGAATCGAATGAACAAAAATGTGTAGAAAGAATAAACAAATTTAGAGGAGAGAGATCAACAGTTGTGATTGAATTTCTAGGGTTTCCGAAAAAATAGGGATTTGAAATCGAAAAAAAAAATAAAAATGGAAATTGATTGTAGAAGAAGTTAAAGAGAGAGAAAGAAGAGGAGGAGAGAGAGAGGTTCTTCCATGTTAGCGCTGTAATGAATGTATGTAAGGTAAGGTATCTTATTATTAAAGCGAGTGGTTTTAATTAGGGAGTAAATTATTTAATTAATTAATTATGATGGGTAATTAAGTGCGGAGAAGTGTTTACTTTCTAGTCATTAAGTGGAACCCACACGCCATGAGTGACAACCCTGTGATGCTGATTAGTTTGTCACTTTTTTCAACAGTTTCCCGGGACTACCCACTATGTTTAGAATAGAAGCCGCATATACGGTGCTACGGCCCTACGCTTGGTTTGGTTTGCACCGCCGACATTCAGGTTACAGGTTCGATCCTATGGAGCTGAGCTGAGCTGACTTAATAATTAAAAAACTAAAAAGGAAAATTTGTAAAAAAAAAAACCTTTTAAATACACCATTTTGCAAATAAAAAAACCACTACGTTCATTTTTTACTAGATGAAACACATTTCCTTAATTATCAACTTAATTAGACTTCAATTTTCCTCTATTTTTTTTATTAACCTCTAACCCACCCAATTACTTGATACTTAGATTTAATTATGCATAGAAAAAAAAAAAAAAAACCACCAACCAACCACCCCTTCCCCTTCTTCCTCCCTTTATTGTACAAGATTTTCAATTTTATAAATTAAATAATTTATACTTGAGCTATGTTTCACTGTCAAAGTTTAAATGTAACTTTTAGTATTACCTTCCTGAATTATAATTCAACTTATGTTTGCTAAGAAAAAAAAAAATACTTGTGGAGTAAATTTTAGGCAAAGCCAAGTGAAAAAATAGGTGTACAAAACAATGCCTTAACCCTTGATTATATAACTAAAAAAATTGCATTATTTTCACCTAATTTCCACTTATTTTGTTTCTAACTAGATTTATTTAAACATAATTTCGAAGGTGAACATTGGTATATCAACATTTTTTTTCCCAAATATTATTGTCTACTTTCTAACATATACACATTTTTTTTTTGAAAGACTAGCCATATAAACTTATTACAGAGTAACCTATTTATGAACTTTTTTTTTTTTTCTCTTTTCTAATTTAAATTGAATAGACTTATCATTAGACTCTAATTACATGCACTTATCATTATGAGATGATCATTAATTCATTTTGAGATGTACGAGTAGGTTGTTCAGACAAATAGTACTATTAATAGCAAGGATGATATTTATAATTATAGTTTGGTAGAATAGCAAGGACTAATTAAGGAGTGACGGGTAATTAGTGAAGTACATGTAGCTAGTGCGATCTTATGCTGCAATGGTGACACTTTAAGTCCATTGGAGAGATGATGCTAGGTAGGCAAGAATGAAAGATAGCGTAAACATTAATATGCATTCACTTCATGTTTCAAGAGGATGGTTAAATGGTAATTGGTGAATGATGAGTCGAATTGAATAATAATAAGGCCTTGTTTGGTTGGATGTAGGAATTAGAAATTTCCATAAAATCTCAATTCTTACATAGCGATGTGTACATACATGGTACATGCATGATGAATTTATAATAATGCATCATTGAAGTTTTTGATCAAATTGTAACTTTTTTTTTTGGCACATTAGTGATATGCTAAAGTAATTAGCCAAATATAAGAAAAAGTTTTATTTCAAACAAATATTAAGCTATTACAAGTTCTTACTTTTTGGTTAATATTATTTTCTTACAACAAATTTATTTCTCAAGGTAAATATAAGAAAAAGTTTTATTTCAAACAAACATTAAGCTATTACAAGTTCTTACTTTTTGGTTATTATTATTTTCTTACAACAAATTTATTTCTCAAGGTATCAATTGTCTACATAATGGATTTTACAGTTATTTAGGTTTATTCTGATTTACTGAACTGAACTTATATTGGAGCTAAATTGAACTGAACTGAGTTGAATTGTTTATGAGAGAAGGAAATTGAAAACTAAACTGAACTGAAATAAAATCAAGCTGAAGTGAACAGACCCTACTCATGTTTGATGAACTTGATTTATATAGCGCTATATATTATATAGTGTGTTATAGCAGAAAATGTAAATAATGCCCCAACTTTTACCGAGTGTATAACACTAAGATACACAGTATTATTATCAATTTATTGTACATATGTCTAAGTACTCCGTATCATACTTAATTAAATGCTACGAGTATCAAATGCAATGAAACAAAGTTAAATACGACAGCCATCTCAAACAAATTTCTGTAATCAGAAATCATTTTCCATTAGTTTTGAGCATGAAAATTTGCCTTTTATCTCATAGTACATGACCCACCTCTTGTTTGTTTGTTAGTTTATTTATAAGCCGTTAACAAAATGGTCACAATGTTATCGTTATGGCATTGAATGTGTGAGCCATTATAGTAGTATAAAAGGCATACTTTTTCCCTAAACAAATAAACACCCTTTAACCTGAAGGTCCATAAATGGTTCTTTGCTTTAAGAATAGGATTGTAACTGTATTACCCCAAAAAGTGCTAAAAGGCTTTATGAGTCTCTCATTCCTTTTCCTCTTTTAGGCCACATTAAAGTATTAAACCATTCAATTTCTAGACCAAATGTCAGCATTTTTATACGAACCAGTTAAAAAAGTTCAATTTGTCATTAATGTGACACATGATAGAATCACAGAATAAAGATTTTTACGCAAATTTAGAGTATAAAAGTTGTGAGTTTGTGACATGTAGCTTTAAGTTTTAAGCTTTAATGGCCTGTCCAAATACCCGGTGATAATAGATGGCATACGGAGTAACACTTTTTGACAATACGGAGTAATACTACTGTAATTACAACAACGAATTAAAGTGTAGTGTGTGAATAGTGTAAAAGACTAAAAGTCAAACGGTGTCAACTAAAAAAACGGAGAAAGTATTTTGTAAGCAAAGTGAATATCCACATTGATTTTTATAAGGTCTATATTTTTTTTTGACACAATATAAGGTCTATATAAAAGTGAAATAATCATTATAACGTTTATTGGTTCATCAACACTAATTAAGTAATTAATGCTCGTAGTTTAATACCAACAACCATGAACTAAAAGGTTAGTTCTAATTTTAATATTGTTTGGTTTACCTTATTTTCACTTATTTAAGGTTTTATAAGTTCTCTTTCCCAAAAAAAAAAAAAAAAAAAAAAAAAACCTTATAAGTTTGATAAAGTTTAGGTTACTAAAACTATAGTTCAGAAAAAAAAAATTGGTTTTAATAAGGATAAATTCATATAAGAAAAATCAGGTGATTAAACACACCTCATTTGATAATATTATTTTGATATAACATTTGAAATGCTAAATTAATGCGAGTTTTTTATTATTATTTTTTTTAATAAAAATCCATTAATTTAATTTATTAATTTATTTTTTTTCATTGGGCAACTCATAGCCCACATGGAGAGTACTACTACTATGAGTAAAACCTGGCAGACAACCTTAAATGATGCTACTCAGACTAGACTTTCAGTGGGATGCATACATATGTATACTTGTATATAGTTTGACTCACGATCATTAAATCTATAAAATAAAGTTTCTTATGCAATATTCATATTACTCCCCCCGTTTTTAAATATTTGTTCCATTTCTCCATGCCGACCATGCGCGAAGTTTTAGGAGAAATTGGAGAAAATAATAATATATGGAGGTGGTGGGGTAAGTGGAAGAATAAAAAATTATAAAAAACAAAAGTAGTGGAGAGGATTGGAGGAGAGAAAATATGTGGTGGGTCCACTATGTGAGAGAAATTAGTTAAATATTGTACAAACTTTCCAAATAATAAAATGAAGCAAATATTTAAAAACGTCCGAAAAAGAAAAGTGAATCAAGTATTTAAAAACGGAGGGAGTATAAAATTTTGTACACAATAAATATAATGGGTACTCGTAGCAAATATTATATGAGTATGATGATATGATTGGGACATTATAACTTAAATTGTGCCATCATCGTCATCAATATTGACCTTATGTGTTTATGCGCATGTACCATGTATGTGCATATTCCTTGTGATGACATGATGAGTATGTTGAGAAAAAAGAAAAAAGTTATTGAAATAAATAACTTATAAGTCATTACTTTGTCATTTCGGTTCCTTGGTTTGAATTATTGATGAATTCAACTTTTTTGCACTACGATTTGTATATTATTAAAAAAAACATATTTGTTTTCGAAAACAGACTCCTCATAAGTCATAAGCGTGTTAAGGTATTACAAGGTATATCAAGATGTTCTTAAGCTAATGTTCGACTGTTGTCCAAATGTCTTTCAGCTCCGCCTAGCAAAGGTATGTCTGAGAACACCGTCTTGTACAAGTATGTCTGAGAGCTAGGCATGCAAAACAAAGAAGGTTAGCTGCCCTAAGGATGTGACTTGGGAAAACCCCTCCGATACTTAACGAGTATACTTTATAGAGAGAAAGTAGGTCTTAGGACAATGGATTTGGCCCCAACAACAAATTTATACTACGTAGTAAAATTAAAAATAAAAATAGGCAAATAATTCAATACCAGAATTTGGTAATCTTAGATCGCTAATTAGCCTACATTCAATTACCGTGAAAGTGGGTAAACCACAAACCGGAAAACAGAAATGATTTACAAATAGGCCCAATGCATAACTAACTGGGCTTGGACAATCCTAAGGCCCACATCCATTAACCATTGCTGCATTGGGTACTTCCAAACTTAATTCTCTATATCGTTTTATAAAATCTACTACGTATTAACTATTACTAAAACAAAACATGCTGATATCATTAAAGAACACTTGTCAAACAGACTCCTCATAAGCGTGTTAGCGTATTACAAGGTATATCAAGATGTTCTTAAGCTAATGTTCGACTGTTGTCTAAATGTCTTTCGGCTCCGCCTAGCAAAGGAATGTCTGAGAAGTCCACCTTGTACAAGTATGTCCGAGAGCTAGACATGCATAATAAATAAGGTTAGCTGCCTTGGGGGTGTGACCCGGGAAAACCCCTCCGATGCTTAAGTCAGCGAGTATACTTTTTAGAGAGAGAAAGTAGGACTTAGGACAATGGATTTGGCCCCAACAACAAATTAATAGTAAAATTAAAAATAAAACTAGGCAAATAATTCAATACCAGAATTTGGTAATCTTAGATTGCTAATTAGCCTACATTCAATTGCTGTGAAAGTGGGTAAACCACAAATTCGAAAACAGAAATGATTTACGAATAGGCCCAATGCATAACTAGCTGGGCTTGGACAATCCTAAGGCCCACATCCATTAACCATTGCTGCATTGGGTACTTCCAAACTTAATTCTCTATATCGTTTTATGAAAATGATACGAAGTATAATAATACGTAGTACTTCGTTTTCGTAAAAAAAATAAAATAAAATAAAATAAAAAACATATACAGTTACACTATACTACATTATTATTTATTACTCCGTAGTATGCTTACAAAAATAAAACTAAAATTATCGAGGGAGAAAATGATAAAAGAGGGTATTAGTTGGATGATATATGTCACATTTAGTTAATCATCGGTCATCGAGTCATTGTTGTCAGATAATGTAAAACTCCTTGATTAGAGTGATTTCCATTGATCAATATTTATAGGGTTACAATGAGAAAACTAATCATATTAGGTAACTATAAGATATGTACAGATATCAAAGATAATCTTATACAAAATATATCCTAAACCTAGGATGAGAATATTCTATGGATATTCTCTATCACACCCCGCAGTCAGAGCGGGAGAAAATCGGATGCTCAGACTGGATCTGAATCATGCATCGAACGGTAAGGATAGTATAGTAACCCATGATCAAAAGAGAAGTAGTAGACATGTGTTGGTGATGACGATGAGAAGCAACAACCACGACCTACGTATAGTAGAGATATGCGCTTTTAGGCCGAAGGAGAAGAGTCACGCATATACTTGGGCCAAGTTGCAGATCCAGAGAATAAGTTAAGGGATCAAACCATCATCGGGGACAAGACACTACACTACTACGTGAAATCACAGTTGAAGAAAAACAAATAAAATTGCGCAAGAAAAGATTAAATCCCATCGCTTGAAATTAATCAATTCTCAAAAGAGAAACCAAGTAGCAAGAAGTAATACTCCACAAAGATTCCAAGTGCTGCAACAATAAAAGGAGCTAACTTGATAACAAAAGAGATGTGCAAAAGTTGACCTTATTGTGATATACCACCACCAAAACAAAATCTATGTGATTATGTGTTAAAAAAACCAACGAGGCAATGTAAGAATCATTGTTGGTCATGGGGAGGTGGAAATAGAGTGCGGCACATGGAGTAGGTTGGCAGATGTGGTTACTGCCAGTAGTGGAAGGCGGTAGTGTATGCGATTGCCAACAATGATGGAGGAGGCTTTCGCGATTGCTACTGTTGGTGGGAGGCGCAAGGTTATATAAAGATTCTAAAAAAAAACTTTGAGAAAAGAAAAAAAAATCTATATGTGTGTTTGCGTAAGCATAAATAACTTTGTATATCCCGCCGGTGGGTTTAATTTTCTAACCCACCGGCAGGGTGAGAATTTTTGTATATAATCCCAAGATCTAACCTAAGCTGTGATACCATGTCAGATAATGTAAAACTCCTTGATTAGAGTGATTTCCATTGATCAATATTTATAGGGTTACAATGAGAAACCTTATCATATTAGGTAACTATAAGATATGTACAGATATCAAAGATAATCTTATACAAAATATATTCTAAACCTAGGATGAGAATATTCTATGGATATTCTCTATCAATTGTAAATTGGTACTTTGAACTTTGAAGCCTTGAAGGTAGGCCTATTATTAGTTGTACCTTGTACAATATGTCTTAAATTACTAAAATGAAGTAAAAGGCTAGTAATAATTGTAACTGTCTAAATGACTTGGTAAGGTTAATAATGCTGAAATTGATAAATGGATGTTAATGCTCATTTACCTTGTCAATAATCATTCCGGTTACAAAATTTTTCCTCTCCAAATTAATTGTTTAACTACTAGATTGAATTTGTTATTAGATCACTAATCACCTCAAGTCCTAAACGTTGATTAGACTTATCATCATTCAATTCGAAATAAGCCCAACCTACCAACCCAAAGGGCATGTATTTGCTGACCTAACACCAACCTGACTTGAATTCCCAAACTACCTTATTTATGAAGAAATGAATAAAACTCAAAATTCTGACTAATCTAACTCGACCCGAAATAATATGGTTTGTAACCAATCCAAATTATCTGATGGTCACCTCTAATCCTACACGGAAAATTAGTTTACGTTGTAATACCCGGAATGCCCCCGCCCACGAATTTAAACACATCAAGAGTTTGTGAGTCACACAGCAAGCACATCCCTCCCCCACCACCTGCCGCTAAATGCCATGCAAAATTTGATGATAACCACCAAACATCGCGCTCACACTCTCTTACCAGTTATCACTCTTAATCAGTGCTTCATTACCATTAACCCATCTTTCTCTCTCTTCCTATCCTCTCATTTTTATTCTCTCTTAACCCTACCCTCTTCAAATCTACCTGTTTGATTCACTTCAATCATGCGAATTTGAACTATAATTGAAGAATTCTTCAGTACCCATTTGATAATTTGAGCTATATTTGAAGAAATTGTGAATACCCATTTGATAATTTGAATATTATTTGAAGAAATTATGGCATTGAAGAACATTACTTTGGTTTCAAGCAGCTGGGTTTTGTTCAATTCAGAAGGAGAAAGCAGATTTTTGGACTTGGATAAATATTCAATTCTTAGGCGTTTGAGGATTCATGCTAGAGATTTGAGAATTTTGGATCCTCTGTTGTCTTACCCTTCAACTATTTTGGGTAGAGAAAGAGCTATCATTGTCAATTTGGAGGTTAATTGATTTATTTAATCATTTAATTATGTTTATTTCAGTCATTTTATTTGTTTTTCTGATCTTAATTTCTGATTTTTGTTTGTATTTTTGGTGTGATTTCAGCATATCAAAGCAATCATCACAGCAGAGGAGGTAACGCTTTCAATTATTAAAATACCGGAAAATGTTATACATAGCCCTTAGGCTAAATATACACATTAAAAATGTACTAGAAAACTGTGTAAAGTTAGGAAATCATGAAAATATAAACACTAATTACACTGATTTACGCATGTTTTTGTGATGAATTCCTAATTTTATACAATTTTCAAGAGTGTATTAAATGCTTATATAACATTAACCTTAAATAAAAAGTCCAATTATTTCTTGTGAAGTTGTGATTCGTAGGATTCGAACCTGTGTACATATGCGTAGTAGAGCTAGTAAAGGAAATTCAATTGTTTGACTTCAATCATTGTATAAATGATTAGCCCTTACTTTTTGGAAATTGGCCTGTATCACATATGACACCCATTATAGCACCTTTGAATTGGGACGTAAACCAACTAAAGTGGGTGTACAAGACATCATCAACTATAATGTCTGGCGCGCCTAATAGGTGCACCAAAGTTTATATGATATGAAAGTTACATTTTTTTTTTATTTATAAGGAAGTATTTTTGTTGATTGGGTTAGGTATGGCTTCGGGATCCACTAGATGAAAATGTGATTCCCGTGGTTGAGGAGTTGCAAAGAAGGTTAGCTGTCCGAGGAGCATTTTTCGAAGGGCTCGGAGAGGAAGACGAGCAGGCTGCTGGTAATTTGATTAGTTGATGTATATATGATTGAAAACTGTTTTTAAAAATACTCGTACTAGAATTGTTTTATAGTGGATCACATTGAGGTATTGATTGAAAAACGAAAATTGTAATGCCAGTAGATATGATGAATGGTGTAAACTACTCTAACTTTGGCACACTTTAATATTGGTTATTATTAATGAGTAATAAAATAATAAATGTAGATTTTCCATTTGAGTTTCGGGCGCTAGAAGTAATGCTAGAAGCAATTTGTAGCTACCTAGATGCTCGTACCACAGAGTTGGAAACTGATGCCTATCCAGCTTTAGACGAGCTTACTTCTAAGGCAAGCTCCCTAGTCTCTACCATATTTTTATGCTGCATTTTATAATTGAGTGCATTGATAAATTTAGTCGTGAATCTTAAGAGGTACCATAGCCACTTTCTTATTCCTAGGATTATGATGAATTGGATGCTTTTGCCTGACTTTAGAATGATGACTTTTGTAAGAATTATGACAGATTAGTAGCCGGAATTTGGATAGAGTGCGTAAATTGAAGAGCGCGATGACAAGATTGACTAACCGGGTTCAAAAGGTGTAATTCTTGACTATACTCTTTGGAACTGTGAAATCCACACTTCCTTGTAAATCCTTGCTTGGTCATAAATGATGCTTCATTTCAGTTCTTTGAAGTTAATTGATAACAGATTATTTGTGTTAAGCATATTGTTGGGAAATTTCCGCAGCACTTGTCTTATTTGTCTTGTAATATAATTGGAGGCTAGGTCAGGGACGAACTAGAACAACTCCTAGATGATGATGAAGATATGGGAGATCTTTACCTGTCAAGAAAATTATCGCGTAATTCTTCACCTGTCAGCATTTCTTGTGCCCCAAACTGGTGTCCTGCCTCACCTGCTGTCCGTTCGAAGATGTCCAGAACAAGCCGAGCAAGTGGGATATCGGCTCATGAGGAAAACGATGTTGAGGAACTTGAGATGCTGCTAGAGGTGAGGATATTAGTCTTGCTATATGCCTTTGTCTCTTTGTTGGCAATGATGAACTTAGTTTAAGATAAGATTCTCTGGGGGCACATTACAGGCTTATTTTATGCAAATTGATAGCACAATGAACAAACTGACCACTGTAAGTACCTATCATGCTGTCCTAGTTATTTTTTCCCAGTGTTTTCGATTCCATGTGTGATATAACTGTTACATGAAACATTCTCTTTTCAGCTTCGTGAATATATTGATGATACCGAGGACTACATTAACATTCAGGTAAGAATATGGGAGATGTAACCTTATTTCAAGAAAGAGCATGTATATGTGTATTTCTGTTTAGAGGCTCCTTGCAGAGTAACCTGATTATTCACTCACTCTAATACTGCAGCTTGATAACCACAGAAATCAGCTGATTCAGGTACAGATCTTAGTTTTTCGTTGATGCTAAACTTATACTGTATGTTCTGTACTCATAGTTTCTTAGTTTCGTAAATTTTATGGAGATTGAGCCACCCCTTTGATCTTTTCTGTGTTAAATTTTTCTCCTTCAAATTGATGCAGCTAGAGATTTGTCTCATCTCTGGGACCCTATCCTTGTCTGTGTATTCCTTGGTAGCTGCAGTATTTGGCATGAACATCCCATACTCATGGAAGGACAATCACGAATATTTATTCAAATGGGTATGATTTCTTTCTTATCTACTACGTAAGCAAATTGTAATTTAATTTTAATGAATTCAGGTACTTTGGCACTCCACATAAATCACACCTAAATAACATAATTTAAATTATGCAAGTTTCTTCAAATATAGAAGCTTGGAAGTCTATATATCTTGTAATTTAACTTTGTAACAAGGTGAAGTACCTCCAAGCTAATATTCTTCTCTAATCAAGGAGAAAGCATATAAGGTATTGATTCATTGAAATACTTACTTAGGTGGTCATCCTCGCTGGAATGGCAAGTGGATCCGTCTTCATATGGATAATGACTTATGCTGGCCATAAAGGTCTTATTGGGATTTGAATGATAAAAAAGGGACATGAAGAAAGGAGGTGCTGTGAAAATCATAGGGGGCAATATTACAGTATTTAGTTATTTACACATTATCAAATTGAAGGAACGCAGTGATTTGCTAGCTATAGAGATATCTAAATAGCGGCATCATGCAGTGGAATATTTAAGTCGTACTGTATTCTGCTAATTGATACTTCTCATACCCACTGTGAATGAGTTTTCATTGTCCTCACGAAGAACTTGACAGATGTATGTATGCAATCATGTTCAATGATAGTCATACCTCCCCAATTTTATTCCCTGTAGAATGGTTTGTTGCAAAGCTTAAGAATATGTGCCCCTTCCATTGATGCTGAATATGTGAAGTATATAATTAATTAAGCATCTGGCCAAAATCTGTTTAGGGTGCTAGTGTTGGTCAACCTGTCTTTTTTTCTTTGTATGGTAATGGCAGGAGGACTAAAAGCTAATTAGTTGAACCAAGCCTTGTACGATAGCCTCACAATTCAGGCTCGGAAATTCCTAAATGAACAGGCCTAAGCAAAAGAAATCAGTTGAGCCCGAGTTTGTTACATCGCAATTCAAGGTAAAATGTAATAATTTTTTAGACTAATGTAATGGTTAATGTTATTTTATGTATAGTTATTAGTTGCAGTTGTTTTTATATAAGTTGATATTTCTGCTAAAATAAAACTTTTGTACATAAAATCTTAACACTCATACGAGCATCACAGTGAAACAAAACATCAGCAAATTAAGCAAAAACTGACTATTTCAGCAAATTAGCCTATCTCTGTAATATCAATTCCCCCCCTCCCCCCATTATTATTTTTTGGGTTTTACTTATCTCTTTTACTCCTGTTAATCTATCATATGATATATTTTCATTAGCTTCTACTAACTAAAAGTCATGTCCATTCAAAATGGCTGGTGTCCTTGAATCCCAATAGTCCCACCACTACTTTTCTGGCATGGACTTCCCAATCCGCTTTGGTCCCCACTATCAATATCTGTAGACTGTAGAAAAGTCTGGTACACAACTACACACCCAAACAATTTAGTGGATGAAAACAATTTTGTTTAGGGTGTTAAGACTCTTAGTGTCAGTCTGTTTTTCATTGATAATGGCAGGAGGAATACCTATAACAAGTGATCCTATGTGCAGTTCAATGGAAAAATAACCTGTTTTGTTATCTTTTCCTGCATAATTGCTGCTCTTGGAGGAGCCATTTTTGGCTATGACATTGGTGTATCAGGTATATGTATAATATCTCAAAGTTTTATGTAGCCTTTATACCTTGACTGTAAAGTTTTATTCTGCAGAAAATTTTGTCTTGTCATATATATCAGTCTGGCACAATTCACAGAACTGAGGGAAGAATCTAAAACCAGGCAGCACTTTAATTTGATAAGTAGTGTTTTAATGTTATGCAGAACAAAGCCTGAAGTGTAGATAATAAACCATCATGAAATCATTCCTCGTCATAGGTGAGGTTGCTAATGGGTTGTTCGGATTGGGTTTATTTAGATCATGTGGTCTATTGGAGATTAGCTTATTAATGTTGATTCAATCAATATTACTGTCATTATTTTTTGGGTTATGTATTTTGATTGAATCTTGGGTTTGGGTCACGGAGTATAGGTTGGGTATTGGCTATGGGTCAATTTTGTGAAATCAGAAAGTAGTAAATATGTAACCAGAGTAGAGAATTTACATTAAGCTAATGAAGTATTTTATGTCAATGTGAAGGTGGAGTTACATCAATGGATCCATTTCTGAAAAAATTCTTCCCACATGTATACATTAAGATGAAAGAAGACACAAAAATCAGCAATTATTGTAAATTTGAGAGTGAGCTATTAACTTTTTTCACCTCATCTCTATACTTTGCTGGCCTTTTTGCTTCATTGTTTGCCTCGTCGATGACCAAAACTTTTGGACGTAAGCTATCTATCCTGGTTGGAGGTACAGCAGTAATTGCTGGTTCCTTTCTAAGTGGCGGAGCTTCTAATGTTTACATGCTCATATTAGGCTGCGTCTTACTTGGAATTGGTGTTGGCTTTACAAATTAGGCAAGTAAGTTGGTCATGATATAGTAAGACTAAGGTTATTATAAAGATAGTACTGTAGTCATCTAGTCCAAATTTTCCTGCAGGTAATTCCAATGTATCTGGTAGAGATAGCACCAAGAAAATACAGGGGAGCATTCAATAATGGCTTCCATTTTAGTCTTTCCGTTGGCATACTCTTAGCATCCTTGGTCAATTATGGGACTGCAAAGATAAAAGGCGGCTGGGGATGGAGAGTCTCAATAGCTGTGACAGCTCTACCAGCAATTGTTGTGACTGTAGGCTCATTTTTCCTCCCTGAAACCCCGAACAGCTTGATTCAAAGGGATCACCAGAAGGCGAAGCTTATCTTACAAAAAATACGAGGTACAACTAATGTCCAAGAAGAATTGAATGAACTCATAGAAGCAGCATCAACCTCAAAATCTATCAAACATCCCCTCAATGATTTACTCTTCAGACAAAAATACAGACCTCAGCTCGTGATGGCAATAGCAATACCGTTCTTCCAACAAATGACAGGAATCAATCTGGTGGGATTCTATGCTCCTGTACTCTTTCGCACCATTGGGTTTGGTGAGTCTGCATCCCTTCTCTCATCAGTGGTAATTGGGGTTGTAGCGATTGCTGCAGATGCTTTCTCAATAATAACAGTTGACAAATTTGGGAGAAGAAGTTTATTTTTCTGGGGTGGTGTAGCAATGTTAGTTCCATTTATAGTTGTGGGAAGTATACTCTTAGCAAAGCTAGGAGATTATGGGAGTTTAAGTGAAGGATATTCCTACATAGTTTTGATCCTTTTGTGCATTTACATTGCTGGTTTTAGTTTCTCTTGGGGTCCTCTTGGATGGTTGGTACCAAGCGAAATATTTCAGCTCGAGATACGTTCTGCTGCTCAAGGTATAACTGTGGCTTTCAGCTTTATATTCACTTTTCTTGTTGCACAAACACTTTTGTCTATATTATGCCACTTGAAGGCTGGAATTTTCTTCTTCTTCGGGGGGTGGATTGTGTTGATGACTGCTTTTATACACTTGTTCTTGCCCGAGACTAAGAATGTTCCCCTTGAGAAGATTGATCTGTTATGGAAGGTGCATCGATTTTGGAGTAGGGTCATCGGTGAGACTGGCAATGAGACTGCAGATAATTTCAGTAGCTGAATGAGAGGGGGAGTTTGAGTGAAAGTACTGTTATATATAGTGCAGACTATATTCTATATAAGTAGCTGAATGTAATGCCTGTTATGTGTCTTTAGCATCCTAAGCCTTTAAAAAAAGACACATATATAATAATGTTGATGTTTTCACCTAAATAAATATTGAATTTGGTAGCGCAAAAGAACGAATTGCTCGAATCAAGCCATGTCCAAGTACAACAGCCTCACAATCCAGGCTCGAAAATTCCTGAAAGTTTGTTAGATTAACACTAATATTATGTTTTTTTTTTCAATAAATGTACCGTAACAGTTCTTTATATATCAGTTGATATTTCTGTTAAAAAAATCTCAACATTCATACGAGCATCACAGTGAACAAAACATCAGCAAATTAAGCAAACTTTGACTATTTCAGCAAACTTGATGATTAACTATCTCTTAAATACAAGAAGTAACAACATAAGCAACTAATTAGGCGCATCATATACAACTCTTAAATTAGTAAATGTGACAATATTTTCCGAACATCTAGAATTGAATCAATTATAGTATATATGTATGTGAATTATGATAACTAATTTTTGACGAACATAGGGATGATACAACTTTTTTTGAAAAAAAATAAATCGATTAAATATCCTATATCATAAGAATATCTATAGAATAATTAGTTTTTTTTTTTTTGAGAGAATAATTACTTATTAAAGAGAAATCAGATATGATTAACTAAATCATAAAATGGAGCAGAAAAAAAAATAGATTTGAGATCTCACAATGTAATCACAAGTGCGTGATTCTTGCACACCCATTTTTTTTTTGGGAGACTTAATGGTTAATGTAATTATACTGAACCTAAATTATACTAATGTATTGTATGATTTGTATCTTTATCTTCCAATATATTACATGATTTTATTTATTTAAATTTTCCTATCTAATAATAATATAAATACATAGTTAGGCATAATGCATTTAAAACTCTCACAAAAATTTCAATACAAAACATACATTTTAGAAGGAACACCAAATCCTAGCTCAAGAACAAAAAAAATACAATGGTCTCTTACAACCAAAACTCCGTAATATTGACACTATTAATTCCTCTCCTTTGCCTTAACATTTTAACACATGGCGCTGACAACGATACACTAATAAACCAAATGTGCGGCGCAACATACGCGCCAAACGTATGCATCAGCTGCATAAAGGGCGACGGCCAAGATGCTAAAACCGACGCAGATGTCATCCAAGGGATGCTCGGATGCGGGGATGATGATGCTACGCAACTCGAAGAAGACGTGAACAAAATACTCGACGATATAAGCACGGATCCGAAGACGAGAGAGACCTTACAACATATCAACCCATGGATTCAGGCTATTATAATTCAAGGTGGCACAGTACAAGATCAAGCTGCTCATAGAGATTTTAAAGATGCTAGATCAACGATTCGCCACGTAATATATGCGAATCTTCATTCTTGTAATTCTGCGCTTAGTTCGTCTGGAATTAGTATTCCTCCTCCCGTTTTTTCTGGCCTTTTTAATGTTGAAGCTGATTATAAGCTCTCTGATCAGTTGATGGCTTCTGTCAAGGCGTAATTAGTTGAGTTTATCAAGTAGTCGGTTTTTCTAATGAGTGTTCATAAAAACTTGTTAAGATGTGACTAATTATGGTTTTTTAGATTGTTATGCGCAAAAAAAATAATACTCCGTATTGATTTTATCATACTGACTTATTTTAAAAGGAGTCTAATGATTTTTTTATTTTATTACTCCATATGTTAATTTGTCCTTCCTATAATAAAATTTGTACAACAAGAATGTCATCGAGTTTTTCAAAATTCATCAAATGTTATCGAATTATTGAAAAAAATTTCACCAAATCCCATTAATAACTAATGACCATTAGCTCTGTTAGTCATTAAAATTAATCATAACACCTTTTTTTTTTATTTTACGATCTATATTATTCAATAAAAAATAACAAATTTCTCGATTTACGAAAAATATTGTTTTAAATTTTTGGGGTCATTTTGGCCCTTTATGGACCAAATTAAATTCTAGATTATCAAAAAATTAACAGAAATACCCTGTTATGAATATGAATAAGTTATGATCGATT